CACCTGCAGTTAAATGTTAGTTTTGGTTCAGGCTTTAAAGGATCTTAAATAATTGAGCACTGCACTTTTAATCAAATACTGTACACGATAATATGTGGGGTTTATTCTAAATGCATTAAAATAATTCTTAAATTGAGTTAATACATTGTCATTTATGGATACTCAGTGCATTAATAGAACAGCTAGCTTCACTGATGTTAGAACAGTGCAGCACAGGGTTCATGATGCCCTAAGCGTGCTGTGATATTGATGCCCTTTGTACTGTGAACAACATGACTTGGTTTACAAAGTGAGGATTCTGAAAAGGGAGTGACCTTCCTACATTAGAAGGGAAGGAGACATGTTCGTATTTAAGGATTAAATACAAATAACAGTTTCAAAAAATAATTATTATCATTGATTTAAAAAACAGGGTGCTAGAGTACCTTCTGTAGGAGACATCCAGAACCTGGGATGATCAATTTGAAACTTTATGGTACTCGTCAGTAAGGTGGAACTGTTACCTCTCTAGGCAAAGTAAGCACTAGATAACTTTTTTTTACCTTCGGGAGACCCATGGTTTTAGCAAACAAAATTAACCTGAAGTGCAAGTGCTCAGTAAGAATAGATATCAACTCAAACAGCTTGGACTTCAGTGGGTATCAAGCTAGTTTTAGCTCACTTATACCATTCTCGGGAGAACATTCCATTAACATATACTAATCCCACCCAAAAAAGCAGTCCAGATCCGAAATAGTGACAAGTATCATAAGTACAGGAGATACAACAACCCTAGATGATTGTTTATAATTTCTTAGGGTCTCAACAGTGAGTTGTAGCTGCACTTATACAATAGGGATATATAACTGCAAATATGGCGAGCAAAAAAAGAACAGTGACAAGGGGTGAAGATGGCACTACTCAAACAGGCTTACAATCTAGAGGAAGTAGGGTAAAGAAACACATGAGAAAGACAAAAATGTAGAGGGAAGGGCAGGTAAACAAAGGATGATGCCTGGATGTAGTTATATGTATGAAACACCAGCTCTAGAGTGGAATGATGAAACAGTAACATGCACTTTTGAAACTGACCATTTGTTGTCCGTGGAAAGATACGGACTTGGTAGTGCTATGTTAGGTTTCCGAGCTAGGTCCTAATTTAAGCCAATGAGTGGGAGCTAAATATATATCATTAGTAAACCATGTGATATATTATCTCTAAAAAACTACTGCACTTTGCAATATTCTTTGTGATGCATTGGAACATCAAATAGGCCTTGGATAGAAATTCACCTTAATGGAAGAACAAGGGTAAGCAATCAGTTTGCCTGAAGCATGTCCATCTTCCAGGTTCAGTGTAGCCCAATATCTATTATTTAGTGTCACTTTTAGGCACTTTGAAGATAACTAATCATGTGCTATACAAACTTTTTAAATGATCAAAGCTGTGGTTCCCCTCGAGCAGTTTGTCTAGGGATTCAAATAAATCTGTAAGTTGCTGAGGTCTGACCACTGCGGCTAGCAGTTACAGCTGAACCAGACCCTCTCTAAAAGTTATTTAGTTTTTTATCAGTCATAGTACTGGATTCTGGGGCTCTACATTCTTGCCGAAACAAATGTGACAAAACTGAAAGTTATTTAAACATATAAATGGTGTACAGAAGGAAATATATCAACGAGTGTTGTATTGTTCCCAAACACTATGTTATTTATTATTAGTATTTATAGAATGTCAACATATTCCTGTAGCATTTACAGTTAAACAGGGGCTATGGCAGCATCATGTCATTGGCGGACAAAATAAAATGTACATGCACAAGCAGTGAAGAGCTCCCCGCTCATATGGGCCAGTCAGTGTACTGCAAAATATCTAAATAATATAAATATTATGTTAATATTTTAGTGTAATATACTGTAAGCACATTTTCCTGACGTTTTACTCACAGATCAAGTAAGAAAAGTAACCAACAGAGAGAAGAGGAAGAGCAGTAAAAAATCTATATTTATATATTTAGTATTTATTAAAATTGACATTTAGTGACTGTCCCCTGTATATCAATCATCTTTTTTTCCATCAATCATCTAGTTTTTCTGATTGCTACAACTGGAAATCAGAATTGGCAATCAAAACAAACATGCTTGGACATTGCACGTTTTGTTTGTTTTGTGATTCAACTATATTTTGGCTCAGAGTTCCGAAATTCGGACAATTACCCGATCAGCCCAAATTCAGACAAATTGCACTTTGTAGCAAAATTAATCTCCAAGTCTAATCAATATAAACATTTCACTACACTGCTAATAATCACAACATAAAGATAATTATTTCACTTTGGAGATAACAATCATGTTATCAAGATAATGCACCTGCTATAAAGATGACAATAATGCCTAGGCAGCATGTGGAAAATTTTTCTGTTCGGTTCGGCATTCCGAAATTCAGGACTTCGGCACTTCGGCGATTCGGCTCTTCGACACTTCAGAACTTCGGCAACTTCGGCACTTCGGCATTTCGACACTTTGGAACTTCAGAACTTTGGCACTTCGACACTTTGGAAATTCTGTAATTTTGGAACTTCGGGACTTCAGCAATTCGGCACTTCGGAACTTCGGCAACTTTGGCAACTTCGGCACTTTGGGGCTTCGGAATTTCGGAACGTCTCTTGCAGCCGCTTGGTAGATAACTACCTAATTCCCACGGTATTAGGGAGTTATCTACCAAAAGGCTGAAAGACCTAAATTGGTCTTTCAGCAAATTTACTAATACTAACTAAAAATTACTTAGTATTAGTAAATTGTGCCCCTACTCGCTATACCGCGACTAGGGGCATGTAAATTAAACAGTGAGCAGCCAGTGGCTGCTCACTGTTAAAAAAAAAAATGGTTCCCCCCTCCCGAGCCCCCACCCATGATGCGCGAGTGGGGGCTTTTAAACTAAAGGGGGGCCTATTGCCTGAGTCGCGGGTGGGGGCCCTAAAGTAAAATACCCCCCTCGGCACCCATCCCTGAGAGGTGGGTGGGGGCCCTAAATTAGAGAGGGGGACCCCCCTGGCCCCCACCCCTGAGCGGTGGGTGGGGGCCCTAAAAACTAATTAGGGGGGGCCTATTGTCCTCCCCCTGCCTCCACCCCTGAGCGGCGGGTGGGGGCCCTAAAGTAAAATAATGGGGGGACCTATTGTCCTCCCCCCTGGCCCCCACTCTTGAGCAGTGGGTGGGGGCCCTAAAAACTAATTGGAGGGACCTAATGTCCTCCCCCTGGCTCCCTAATGTCCTCCTCCCTTGCCCTGAGCAGTGGGTGGGGGCCCTAAATTAGAATGAGGGGGGAGAACCTAATGTCCTCCACCCTGGCCCCCACCCCTGAGCAGTGGGTGGGTCCCTGAAATACTAATTAGGGGGGGTACATAATGTCCTCCCCTGACCCCCACCCCTGAGTGGTGGGTGGGGGCCCTAAATACTAAAAATAACCCACCATCCCCCAAAAAATTAACCCCTACCTACCGCCCTCACCCTAAAAATAATGAGGGGGGATCGTTTAACTAAGTACTTGCAAAAAAAAAAAACATACCATGTCACGTGCGTGGGCTATAGGCCCAGCCGAGACAGTGGGGAGAGTGTGGAAGTGACAGGGTTAATCTATCCCCCTTAGTACTACTGCCACCACCAAGACTTTTAAACCCGGGCGTCTTAGGTTACCCCACACACAGGAGAATTATAGTATCACAGTTCTACTTTTACTGATAAAACATATATAGTTAACCCCTTTTGGTAACGTGTTTACCTGAGCTTTCCTCTGGAGAGTGAAGCTCAGAGAACAGAGACACAAGCTGATTAAGTAAACATTTAATCTGACAAAAAGGATTCACAGTGCTGAGTACAAAATACAGAAATAAATGACATACAGAAAACAAATTGCAAAACAGTACATAAAATAAAATAGGAGAAAACACAAGAAATTCCTTACATATATTTACCCCATATAGAATTCTTGTGGGAGTCTTAGATGGTATAGGTCTCCTAGAAGTTACTGACAAAAGAAAAAATGAATAACTGACCTCCCTGGATAGTCCAACACCCTCATATATCTAAACTAGTTGTTTCTCAGTGGGCAGACCCCTGGGGGGGATCAGAGGGGGTTGGTCTGGCAGTCTATTGCCCACTCTATGAAATTCCTTGTGTCCAGCTCTGGTGATGGCTATCTAGATGTTTTATGGTCTAGGCCTGGTGCAGGATCAAAGACCACAATAAATGTCATCCCAAGGTTTACAAAAAAAACAACTCTTAACATATATAAACACACATCAAGCACCAACTCATGCTTTTGGCATGACACCTCCCCCTTAAGATGGTGGACAGAAAAATGCACCCACAGGCTGATTTATCTGTCTACCATTAACCCTCTAGTTGCCGAGACAGGCCATCTGCATTCCCATGCAAGCTGCCCTTTTTGTGTTGGACAGTGAAATTATACTGTTGGAGGATGAGGCTCCAACGGAGCAGCTTACCATTGTTACCTGATACTCTGTCCAGCCAATGCAGCGGGTTGTGATCAGTGATGACAGTAAAGTCTCGGCCGTACAGATATGGCTGTAATTTCTGCAAAGCCCATACAACAGCTAGACACTCCTTTTCTATTACTGCATAGGCCACCTCCCTGGGTAACAGCTTCCTACTAAGGTAGAGGACAGATGATACAGTACAATATACACACTACTCAAGATAATAACTGTAGTGAGATGTATACAGATACTTAACTTAATTATTACAGCCTCCCAAGATCGTTACCCAGAGAGAACGACCTTTTAACATAGATAACCACAAGCAACACAGAACTTCGGGATACGGCTGGAAAGTTAATCTAAAAGGAACACAAAAAATATACACAAAATAGTGAAGTACAATTAACACATGGTTTTCCGCTGAATACAAATGCACTCACAGAATGAAGTAGAATATATCGCTCATAGGGTGCCTCCCCTAGTGGAATGGGGGGTTGGTAATCCCTTGGCTCCTTCTAGGCTTCCTTAATAATGCTCAGGACTCCAAACAGGTAATGGTAGAAAAAAGATGTATTTATTGATATTCACCTTTTATCAATAAATACATCTTTTTTCTACCATTACCTGTTTGGAGTCCTGAGCATTATTAAGGAAGCCTAGAAGGAGCCAAGGGATTACCAACCCCCCATTCCACTAGGGGAGGCACCCTATGAGCGATATATTCTACTTCATTCTGTGAGTGCATTTGTATTCAGCGGAAAACCATGTGTTAATTGTACTTCACTATTTTGTGTATATTTTTTGTGTTCCTTTTAGATTAACTTTCCAGCCGTATCCCGAAGTTCTGTGTTGCTTGTGGTTAAGGTAGAGGACAGGATGCTCTTCTCCTTTAGAGTTAACCTGGCTAAGCACAGCTCCCAGCCCAAAGTTGGAAGCATCTGTCTGGACCACAAACCTCTTACTAAAATCTGGGGCCTGAAGGACTGGGAAGCTAGACAAGGCTTTCTTTAAGGCAGTGAAGGCTTTTTCACAGTCCTCAGTCCACGTTATCTGCTTGGATACTTTCTTTTTAGTTAAATCTGTGAGTGGTTTGGCTGTCTCACTGTAGTCTGGGACAAATCTGCGATAATACCCTGCTGTCCCCAAAAATGACATGACCTGTTTCTTGGTCTTAGGGACTGGCCAGGCCGTAATAGATTCCACCTTACTGGGTTCAGGGCGAATGGACCCCCCTCCTACTCTGTGCCCCAGATACTGCACCTCTGTCATGCCTATCTGACACTTTTCTGGTTTGATGGTGAGCCCTGCCCCTCTTATTTGCTCCACTACTTTGCCCAAATGAACCAAGTGCTCCTCCCAGGTCTTGCTAAATACGGCAATGTCATCCAGGTATGCCACGGCGTATTCCTCATGGCTCTCCAATAATTGATTAACCAATCGCTGAAAAGTGGCCGGGGCATTTTTCATCCCAAAAGGCATCACACTGAACTCATACAACCCAAAAGGAGTGATAAAGGCTGACCGCTCTTGGGCTTCTGGAGTCAGAGGGATTTGCCAGTACCCCCGACTCAAATCCATAATAGTTAAATACTGAGCACCTGCTAACTGATCCAGTAGTTCATCTATCCTGGGCATGGGGTAAGCATCAAATGTGGTCACTGCATTTAACCTTCTATAGTCTACACAAAACCTGATGGATTTATCTTTCTTGGGAACCAGCACTACAGGAGAAGCCCAGGGGCTCTTTGATTTCCTAATTACCCCAAGCCCCAACATGTCTTCAATCTCCTTATGGATGTGGGCCCTTACCTCTGGGGATACCCGGTAGGCTACCTGTCGTAGTGGTGGTTGGCCATCAGTATCTACGTGGTGGGTGGCTAGTGTGGTTCGTCCTGGCTGCCCGGTAAATGTGTCACTAAAGGGGCCTAGTACCTGATGTAGCTGCCTCTTCTGTTCAGCTGAGAGCTCTGGGTTGATTTTTGTATCTTGTAGGGATTCCTGGCCTTTAGCTTCCTGTACCAGATCCAGCAAAGGATCATTACCTAGTTCTTCCTCTGGTGGACTACATACACTGAGTACCAAATTCTCTGGGTCATAATATTCCTTTAACATGTTAATATGATACTGCCTCTGCCTCTCACCCTTTTCATCGAGGGCTACTACGTAGGTGGTGGGTTCTAAACGCTGCAAAATGAGGAAGGGACCCTCCCAGGCAGCCTGCAACTTATTTTGTCTTATGGGGTTCAAAACCATGACCTTTTGTCCCACTTCATAGACCCGGTCCCTAGCATTGCGATCATACCAATATTTCTGCCTAGACTGCGCTGCTGTAAGATTGTCATGCACTAGCCCTGTCAATGTCTGCATCCTGTCCCTAAACTTAAGAACGTATTCCACCACAGAAGTTTCTGGAGTGTGTAGCCTCCCCTCCCATTCTTCCCTTACTAAATCTAGGGGTCCCCGCACTTTGCGTCCATAGAGTAATTCAAAGGGTGAAAAACCTGTGGATTCCTGTGGTACCTCCCTGTAAGCAAATAGTAAATGGGGTAAATACTTCTCCCATTCCCGGCCCTGTGATTCTACAAATGTTTTGAGCATCTGTTTCAAGGTCCCATTAAACCTCTCACAGAGACCATTGGTTTGGGGATGGTAAGGGCTTGCTACCAAGTGCTGTACATTAACCTTCTTACAGAGACTCTGCATCAGATTAGACATAAACTGCGTACCTCGATCAGTGAGCATTTCTTTAGGGAAACCCACCCTGCAAAATATACTGATCAGAGCGTCCGCTACCTTATCTGCCCTGATAGAGGATAAGGCGATGGCTTCAGGATATCTGGTTGCATAATCCACCACTGTCAGAATAAATTGCTTCCCGGTACTGCTGGGGATAGCCAACAGCCCCACAATATCTACGGCAACTCGTTCAAAGGGTACAGTTATGATGGGCAGAGGCACTAAGGGAACACGAGTAACATCCCCAGATTTACCCACTCTCTGGCAGACGTGGCAGGACCGGCAGTAATTTGCAACTGCAGTGCCCATGCCAGGCCAGTAGACATTGTGAGCCAATCTTGATTTTGTCTTGGTTACCCCTAGGTGTCCTGCCAAAGGGGTTTCGTGGGCTAACCTCAGCAGCTCACCCCTGAACTTCCTAGGAACCACTAGTCGTCTTTCTCCCTCCCTGGTCCCCTGTATATTGACAGGAAGGGATTCCCAGTACAATATATTATTATCCCAATATACACGGTGCCTATCTGTGTCAGTGCCTGGTTGTTCAGCGCGGTGTCTCAGCCCTTCCAAGGAGGGGTCACTGCGCAGAGCTTCCAGGAAACTCTTATTGCCCTCTCCCCACCATGCTGCACAAGAAGGTACTGCTCCCTCTGGCAGAGCCTCAAGGGGTGGGATAGGGTCTACACCATTCTCTGCCTGTGCTACCGCTGCAGCTCTGGCACACTGCTGACGTGTTACTACTGCCACCAGGGGTACACATCCCTGGCTTTCACCTTCCTCCTCCCCCTTACTCTCTGACATCCCAGCCTCACAGTATTTTGATACAGGCACATCACTACTCTCCCCTAGATTACATTTGGTAGACATCACTGGTTCAGTTACAGGTAGATATTTATCCACACCCTGCTCTCCCTCCCAGCAATCACACTTCACAATGTCTCCCAAAGTTTCACACAATACCTTAGGTGGAGCAGTCAGTCCTGGCTCACAAACAGTGTCCTCTGGAGCATAGTGACAGAGCATCCTGCCCAAATCATTCCCCAACAGAACATTAACAGGGATATCCTCCGAAACCCCCACTTCCCGCAAACCTTTGCCCGCACCCCAATCAAGGTACACACATGCCAGGGGCACAGCGGGACGCACACCCCCAATTCCTTTGATGGACATGGTTCTTCCAGGGATTATGTCCTCCGTATTCACCACTTCAGGGCGCACCAGGGTGAATGAAGCTCCAGAATCTCTCAGTCCCATGGTCACTCGGTCACCCACAATTACACTCTGCAGGTTATCCTCTCGTTTCCCCACAGACCCACCCACAAGCAAAACTGATGGTGCCTCTCCACGGGCTGGTGAGGGTATATTCCTAGTGGGGCAAGTCCTGCTCAGATGACCAATCTGGTTGCATCGAAAACAACGGCGGGCATCTGACTCACTTGATATAGCCCTGGCTACGCTGGCAGTCGGTGGTGAAGTTCTCACTGCAGATCTTACAGGTGGTGATTGAACTGTAGCTTCTCTCCAGGTCGAAGTAGCAGCTGACACAAGTCCACGCTTGGATGTGGGTGCATGGATGTCGGCATAGTCGTCTGCCAGTTCTGCAGCAGCTCTAGCATTTTTTGGCTTTCTTTCCAAAATCCACTCTCGTACATTAGGGCTCCGGGTCTGCAAGAACTGCTCCAGGACCAGTAAGTCATTAAGGGCTTCATAGGTAGTAGCTTGTACTCCTGTTACCCATTGCCGAAACGTGGTTTCTAATTGTGCAACATATAGAATGCAGCTGGATGATGGGCATTGCTGCATACTCCTAAACTTTTTCCTGTAAGACTCAGGAGTAAGGTTAAAAGTTTTTTGCAATGCAGATTTGATTGCCTCATAGTTATCAGTCTCTGGGGGAAGGGACACAAACACATCCAAGGCTTTCCCTTTCAATTGTGGAGTTAAATATCTGCCCCACTGGTCTGAGGGTAGTTGATGCTGCCTGCATACTTTCTCAAAACTTTTTAAAAATACATCCAAATCTGTCCCTTCTTCGAGGGAAGGAAAATCATCCTTACGGAGCCTACGTGTGATGGACTCTGATGCATTGCTGTTCAGTGAGGACTGAAGGGTAAATTGCAGTTTAGCAAGTTCCAGCTCATGTCTCCTTTGTGCCTCCCTTTCTGCAGCATGCCTTTGCGCTTCCCTTTCGGCTAGCCTCTCTGCAGATTCCCTTTCTGCAGCATGCCTTTGCGCTTCCCTTTCTGCAGCCTGCTGTTGGATCATCACATGCAGGGCCTCCTGAGGATTTGCAGCCATCAGTTGCCGAAATAAATCAGTTGAGCAAATGTCCTTAATGTTTTGAGGGGTACAACCACCAGGCATTTCAGTAAGCAACACTCCTGCAGTAGTAGGGAGCTCGGTAACCATTTCAGTATCCGTCTCTGGCTGGAAAATATGGCTGTCAGCCTCCACAAGGTCAGCAATAAGTTGTGCCTTATTTTTGCCAAAAGTTGGTAAATTATTTTCTTGGCACAACAATTCCAAGGCCCCTTTTGATTGTTTGCGATAGGCCTCCATATTCACAAATAGGATAGAGAAAGAAAAACAAAAGATGGGAGGGGAGAACTGTTTTGCACTTTGTATGTATTTTAAATCAGCACTGAGCTTGGTCTCTGGAAATTACACAAAAACAAGTATGCAATTTCTTTTAGTGCTAAGACCCCCTTTACAGGTAAAATCTAGCAAGCACTAAAAATCTCTAAATATATCCCACTAGCTGCCGCCAGGGGCTATAGGCCCAGCCGAGACAGTGGGGAGAGTGTGAAAGTGACAGGGTTAATGACACCAGACCCCTGGTTACCTGTTGCTAGTCCCAGCAACCACTCAAAGACCACAATAAATGTCATCCCAAGGTTTACAAAAAAACAACTCTTAA